TAAGCTTGAAACTTTGAGCAGTTGCCTGATAACTATAGGAGTATTTTTGACTTTATTTTTGTTCTTTGGGACAATACTGTCCGTGGAATGGGGGGAAAAAAAACAACAGCTAAGATATAAATGACAACAGGGGAGGGGGGGCGCGATCGGTACTAAATCTGTAGCAAATGTCAAACAGATGCCCCGATTTTTTTAATGGTTCTTGGAGAGAATTTGAGTCTTTATTTCATAAAGATCGAAATAGATGCTGTTAGTGGATAACAGTGCACTTATTTTGCCCTTTGGACATTTATAGCAGGTATAACTGCCCTTCGGTGGAACATACCTGCCTGTGTAAAGCCAGGCATACAATGTACAATTTTTCACCTCCCGATCAGGAATCGTAAGGTCGGGAGAAAATCGGCCGTCGTAAGGTATTTGTGAGCAAATCCTGTGGTTGAAGCAGAGCTACGACCCGATTTACCAGAACATTGAGCATTGCGCATGTGCAAACAAGGCAGTTCTTCTTCTTCTTCAGGTAGATCGCATCAGAGCGTCGGGCCGCACCGTGTGAGAACACGCATCATGAGCTGTGAACTTTTAAACCCTGCAGTCTCATCAAACAGTTTGAAATGTAGCTGCATGCAACGGTTGAAAATATTGCAAAGCGCATGGCCGGCTTAACATATCAACTTACATTCTCAAAATGTACTAAAACACATGAAAACGTGAGAATCAAATTTCAGATTAGTTTCAGTGTCAGCTGTAATCTTAACAGAATAAATAAGCAGAAATAAAAGCAGTCCTCTGTTGGTTTGCAGATTTTGTTGGAAGTATTTGAAGACTGTTTTTCAGTTTTTCGTTCTCAACGAGTCTAAATTTTAACATTTTTTGGGGGAGGATATGCCCAGACCCCCCTATGACAAAGCCTACACCCTATGAAGTATTCCTAGCTAAAAGCCTGTCCCACTGCAAATAAAAACATGTTGATATTACTTAAAACTTGCTGACAACAAAGGCAGACTCACCAATATATGAATCTCGATGTGTTGGCACAGGAAACGCCATGCAAAGGTAAGTGTCCGACTGAAATAATCAAAAAGAGAATGAAGTTAACCACATTAATTCATTTTGACGTGCTCATTATGGGAACATGACAATGGACCACCGCTGTGTCCCGATGTTCACCCTAATCACTGTAAACGCCACTATATAGTGGTTAGGCCCACTGTCGATCAATGGCTTAGAGCAGATGTTCGCACACGGCCCATTACTCAATGTTTTCAGACCGTTTCTGACATTTGGGGTTTTTCCCTGTTATATAAAAGGGTTCTATCATAAAAGCAGTGACAGGAATTATTAGCAACCAATCAATTAACTTTTCTTTGTTTCAATGAGTCTTAAAGGCATGTTTTGTTCAATTCATGTCTGAGTAATTCTCACTATTCTGTTCTCTGAGTAGCGGCTCCTCCATGTCCTGGGAAACAAGTGACCACAACTTCCTATATCGATCAGTGCAATGCTGTCCCAGTTAATAGTTAAAAGGAACGAGCTCAAAGTTCAGTTCACACATAAAAATGAACTAGCTCACATTCATTACTTGAAGGTCAAACTAACTAACTAACTCAAGTTAATTTGGTAAATTAAGCCACAATCCTACACAATAGAACCTTATATTTCATCCTTTAAATGTGTGATCATGATATATAGAGAGAAATGGAAAATACTCGATCCAGTCAAGTTATACTGTATGTGCAGAGAAGTCTTTCTTTAGCAGAATTACACAGAACTTATGTTTCTGAAGTTCTGGTTCTGCTGCAAAGATCTGGATCCAAAATTATTTCTTACGTTCCTCATTCAGCAGCAGATATTCCCCAAGACAGCTTGGATGCTCTAACTGCATGTGTTGCTTTACATTTGAAGTGGACGTGGCCGAAGTACGGACTTGTTTGTCCCAATGGGCACAGTTTGCAGAAAAACTTGAGTTATTTTTGTCTGTCCAAGTCTTCCTTTGTTAGTT